ACACACACACACACACACACACACACAGACAACCTTTCGTCAGTATGCGTTTTCCGCATTGCATAGCTAAAAAAAACGCATAATCAGCAAAAAAGGCCTTCAAGCATTTGAGAGTAAACGGAAGGATAATTTGAGGCAACAGCTTTTCTGAATTCGGCATGGGCAGTATGCAATATTTTGCGTATATTAGGTATTCTGATCGAGTTGTGAGAAAGAATTTGAGCAAAGTATTAAAGAGTGGAATTCAAATTTTGCAGATTATTCCGGTTGCAATGTCACATTCTGCTCGATTTCCGCCGATTCTTCATAGTCGTAACGATACGCCACCTTCAGTGAGCAACATCATGCCATCACATGTATGTTCCTTATTTCTGCTAAATGCAGGACTAATGTTTCGCAGTGTGTAAAAAAAATATTAATATCCGTAAAGAATTATTGTGCTTTTTGTGCTGTGTAACAGCAGTACAAAATACATATTGTCACGGGTTTGTCTTGTGTGTTTGGTGTGTGTGTGTGTGTCCGCAGCAACTTGTCCGCAACTTTCAACTCGGAAACCACAAAAGCTAGGAGGCTGAAAATTTCGGGGAGCGTTCTCCACCCACGTGTGACCCCGAAACTTAAGTTCGGCTTCCCCGTACCCGCGGGTAATATGTACGGTCCCGTGAAAGTTTTTACGAGTAAATTAATATCTCGGGAACCGCGGAGTCTAGGAGGCTGAAATTTTAGGGTAATGCCCCCTTGCCCACGCGCAACCTTGCCTATTCAAATTCAGCCTTCCCGTCCCGCGGGTAACACATATGGCCCCGTGAAAGTTTTTTACGGTTAAATTAATATCTCGAGAACCGCGGAGCCTAGGAGGCTGAAATTTTAAGGTAATGACCCCCTGCCCACGCTCAACCTTGTCCATTCAAATTCAGCGCTCCCGCGCTCTCGGTATCACCTACGGGCTAGTGAAAATTTTCACGGGTAAATTGTTATCTCGAGAACCACGAAGTCTGGAGAGCTGAAATTTTTGGCTAATGAACCCTACCCACGCTCAACCTTGCCTATTCAAATTCAGCGTTCCCGCGCTCTTGAGTGTCACCTACGGCTTCGTGAAAATTTTGGCGGGTAAACTATTAACTCGGGATAAAGATATTCACCCCTCAAGGTTTCGAATTCAGCTTTCTTGCGCTGGTGCGTGAAATTTCTCTGTTTCTAGTTTGAACTATTTTTGCATAGACTAAAGTACAAAGCAGTGAAAATCATTAATAGACAATCGTTCGACGGGTTGAATTGCACAAAACGCATGATCGCACCGGCTAGTCTGGTGCGCGTAGCTATTTATTTTTGAAACGTACCCATTTTTATGCGTTTTTTGCAGCAATGCAATGCAAATAAATGGCCAACGCACGGGCTGCCCGTGCGAAGATGCGTTTTTTGCAGAGTTCCCCGCAGGTTTTTTTCGCTACTGGCATCGGTTTTTTCGGCAGATGCTTCTAGCTAAAAGAATTTCAGACTGTCCGCCAGAAATTTCAGTAAATATCCCCTCGAAATTCA